AGGCACACCTTGGACGCGATAACGTTATGAGGTGATGGCGTAGTGAGATGATGAGGTTCCTCAATATGCACTAGCAGCATAAGCACCTGTTAGAGAACCAGAACAGCGGAATGAGGATTGACTGCAGGATGTGTGATAGAAGTACTAACCCTAAAAGGGTTACACCCCATACAAGATTCCTCACTACAGCCTAGAACCACAAATATGCAATTTGACACACCCCCATAGGCTAAGTGAGGGATAGAAAGAGAAAGCAAGTGCCACAATTGGTCACAAGACCAGAAGCAAAGCTCAAGGTGGATCGCAAGATCACTACACGGTCCGAGCACAAGATCTCAGGTCAGCCAGCGCAACTCCTGCACAGCCATAGCCCCAGCGTAGAGTTCGACCTTTTAGCTGGAGCTGAGCACAGAAGACGAGCGAGTGGACCTCCACGAGACTCAACCAGTGCTAAGGCTGAAAGCGTAGCCCTGTGAAGACCGAGAAGTCGCCTAGTCGGGAGCCCACAAAGCGCCTGAGTGCCCTATGAGCACAACTTGACCCTGTTCCTCAAGCACAAGCCCCAAGCTTGATGTACAGGCCAAGTAGCTCAGCACCCTCTTAGCAGTTGACCAGTGCTCAGCTCGGTGTCTCCCGAGTGCAACGTAGCAAGCCACGATTCTGAGAGGGTCCACGAGGTCAGGCTAAGTGCACGTCATCAGCTACATGAGCCAACCCAAGCATTGGATACAGACCAGTAGGCTCTACGGACTCGTTCGAAGGTAGAGCTGAGAGCGTATGGCCCATAGGCAGAGGTGTGGACTGTGCCGAGGAGTAACGAATACCGAAGCGCAGAAGGACCTACTGCACCATGTGTAATTGAGTAAGAGTGATGGTGCGTGCTACACTGTCCCGGGTTGCAAGCCAAGAAAGGTTCGCAGTTCACCCAAATTAGTGCAGGTGTGTATCTTCTGTAGCTCAACCTTCACGAAGTCCAATGCCTTCACGAAGTTCAGCAGTCGCAAAGACCAGGTTGTCTACGTACACAAGGATGTAGAACTGGGGTAAAGCAAGGTCAGCGCGCAGAAACAAGGACCCAACAGTCGTCGAAGGTGTGAAGCCAAGAGCCGCAAGTGTCGTCCTCAGTGCGTCGTGCCATTCTCGGGGTGCTAGACGCAAGCCGTAGACTGGCCGTCAGAGCCTCCACTGGGTACCCTCAGGAAACAACCTAGTGAAGCCAAGTGGGCGGCTCAGCCAGATCTGCTCATGGAGGCAGCCCCGCAAGAAAGCCGTCAAGAAGTCGAGCGAGTGCAACTCGTAGTCACTCTATGCTGCAACGTGACCCGACAAGTCATTGTCTTCGGGGTGAATGGACCTATTGGTGCAATGGGACTGGTTGGACCTGTTGGTCCAATGGACGGATAGGGCGAACTTACTTGTTGGTCTAATGGACCAGATGGACCTAACTTGCTGGTCCAATTGGACCGGTTAGACCAACTTACCTGTAAGTCCAATCGACCGGTTGGACCAACATGCCTATTGGTTCAATTGATTGGTTCGACCTGCTGGTCGGATGGTCCACTAGAGGGATTGGACCAACTAGACGTTGGTCTAATGGACGGACTATACTAACTGGCAAGTTGGTGCTACTTTTCTATTGGACCAAATGGTTAGTTGGTCCAATAGACAGGTTGGACCAACTGACCTACTGGTCCACTGGACCAGCTCGACCATGGTCCATTAAACTGGTTGGACCAACAAGTCTGTTGGTCCAATGTACCGGTCGGACCAACTGGCCTGTTTGTCCAGTGGATCGGTTGGACCAACTGCTCTGTTGGTCTGACCGGTTCGACTAACTGGCCTGTTGGTCCAATGGATGGACTGGACCAGGTGGCCTGTTGGTGCAATGGACTGGTTGGAATAGCTGGCCTGTTGGTCCAATGGACAGGTTGGACCAACTAGCCTGTTGGTCTAATCGATCGGTTTGGACAAACTGGCCTATCGGTCCGATGGACTGGTTGGACCAACTGGCATGTTGGTCCAGTCCACCTGTTGGGCCAACTGGCCTGTTGGTCCAAAATACCGGCTAGACCAACCGAATTGGTCCAATTGACCTGTTGGACAGGTTGGACCAACGGGCATGTTGGTCTGGTCGACCTGTTGGACCATCTAGCCTAATGGTCCAATGGAAGGATTGGACAAACTAGCCTGTTGGTCCAATGGACGACTTGGACCAACTAGCCTGTTGGTCCAATGGACCGGTTGGACATATTGCCTGTTGGTCCGATCGACCGGTTGGACCTATTGGTTGGATCAACTCTCTTGTTAGTCAAATAAACTGGTTGGAACTTGCCTGTCGGTCTAATGAACCAGTTGGACCAACTGTCCTGTTGGTCTATTTGATCAGTTGGACCAACTAGACTGTTGGTCCAATCAAGTGGCACGCTGGTCCAATGGACCAGTCGGACGAACTGGCCTGTTGGTTTAAAATACCAGCTGGACCAACTATATTGTTGGTCCAATCGACCGGTTACACCAATTGGCTGTCACCGTATATGCACTTAATGCATGTGCTATAACAGTAGAATGATGGTATAGTGTGGGTTTTATACTAAAACCATAGGAAGACTAGATAGGAATAAGAGTATAAGTAATAGGTGTAGCATGTAGGGAAGTTACTGTTAGGAGCGAGGGTGTAGAAGGGGGGAAACAGGATAAGAGCGGTTGAGATAAAAGGGGGGAAAGACTCCGAAGGGCGAAATGTGAAACCAATCAACCCCAACCCCAAGCCGCACATTTGGAAATGTGCACCCAGGGGTGGGGTAAGGTCACTCACCTCCAACCCATCGATGCTTTCTCGTTGTTATTCTCTCGAACTAGTGAAATTTGTTGTCTCACGCTCTAGCACACTGCAGCACGGCACTAAGAGGGAACCTACGGGGTGAGGGACGTAGCTCTTTCATAACAACGAGAAAGCATCTCTTGCAGCGTAGGAGAATATGGACAAGTACGAGCTGCACTAAGGTAGGGTGTTCAGCCAACGTGAGGAGGAGCGGCTGCGACGCGAGCCTTCACGGGAACGAGGGCGGTCCTGGGAACGATCGCCGCGCCGACCCGTCTTCCGCGCGGATCGGGTCCCCCCTGCGAGGGACCGTCCAAGGGAAGGAGCAAAAGATGTCAGAGCAGGCGTCGACGGCCACGCCGGAGGCATGGATTGAAACGCGTGGCTGCGGGAGAGCGCCCGCGGGACTGGCGTGGAAGGCGGAAGCCACCGCGACGCAGGTGTGTTTCACTCGCCGGAAGATCGCGGACGGCGCCGCGATGAGAGAGGTCGTTGGCAAGGATTCGAGGAACGGCCCCGGGGACAGGGAGGCAACGGCAGCGGCGACGCTCGCGAAGGGGGCTTGCAAGAGAACACAGCTCAGGAGGTGACATAGTGTCAGAACATATAGCTTGTGCATATTGTGTAGGCTATTGTGGGGTAGCCCATAAGGGGTACAACCCAATTAGGGTTAGTACTTGTACTCAATTCATTCATAGTTCTTTCATTCTCGTTCTCATCTTCTCATGGTATCGAGCAGGTTCCCTCGTGGGAACTGTTCCTTGGGCCCACCGATTTTTTTTTTCCTGCCCGGGGCGCATCCTGCCCCTGCCCGAAGCGTGCCTAGGTTCGCGCCCTTCATAGCGGCCCCGTCGCGTCACCCTTAGCGGCCCGTCGCGTCGCCCTTAGCGGCCCGTCGCGCCGCCCTTACGGTCGCGTCGCGCCACCCTAACGGTCTCGTCGTGCCGCCCTAGCGGCCTCTCGCCGCCCCGATCAGCCGCCCTTGCGGCCCCGATCAGCCGCCCTTTCACAAGCGGCCCGTCGCCGCCCTTGCAGCGGCCCGTCGCCGCCCTTCTCACGGCCCCGCCGTCCCTTTAAACGGCCCCGCCCCCCTCACCTGCGGCCCGCCGCCCTTCCTGCGGCCCATCGCCCTTACCTGCAGCCCCGTCGCCCTTCCCTGCGGCCCCGCCGCTCTCACCTGCGGCCCTGCCGCTCTCACCTGCGGCCCCGCCGCTCTTACCTGCGGCCCCGCCCCTCTCACCGGCGGCCCCGCCACTCTCACCTGCAGCCCCGCCGCTTTCAATTCCGGCCCCGCCGTCCTGACCTGCGGCCCCGTCCCCTGCTGCAGCGCCGCCCGCCACCCGAGTTGCCCGAGCCGCCTCACCCAGCCGAGCAGCCGACCGCCGCGCCACCCTACAGCAGCACCGCCGAGCCGCCCAGGCAACCGAGCAGCTGGTCAGCCGAGCCGCCGAGCCGCCCAGCAGCCAAGCAGCCAAGCCGCCCTGCAGCCGAGCCGCCCAACAGCCAAGCCGCCTTACAGCCGAGCCGCCGGGCCGCCGAGCCGCACTGCAGCCGAGCCGTCCAGCCGCCCAGTAGCCGAGCTGCCGAGCCGCCCTACTGCCAAGCCGCCCGAGCTGCCCCGTCCGGTAAGCACAGCGCCTCTTTCACTGCACTGCCCTCACCCTACTGTTTGCACTGCTAGTCTACTGTGGTCATGGCTACCCCTAGTGTCCTCGCTTTTGACGCTGAGGGTCGAGCCATTGACTTTGACGTCTAGGTAGATGACCTGCAGCTGTTCTTACAGTGCGATAGGGAAAACGGTCTCTCTCTCTTTGACCTCACCTGTGGCGCCTCTCCTGCCCCTGCTGCTGATGCTGACGCCACTGTTCGCTCCCAGTGGGCCACGCGCGACGCCGCTGCACGTCTTGCTGTGCGTCGCCACCTCCCTACCTCCGAGCGTGCGCACTTTAGTCAGTACAAGAGTGCTCAGACCTTGTACCATGCTGTAGTTGCACGCTACTCCTCCCCTGCCACTGCTGCACTGAGCCGTCTGATGCTACCGTACCTCTTCCCTGACCTTGCTGCCATTCCCACAGTCGCTGACCTCATTACGCACCTCCGCACTAATGACACTCGCTACCGCGCTGCGCTTCCTGCTGACTTCTGCGCCAGGAACCCCCCCCCCCCCCCCCCCCCCCCCATGTACATCACCCTCTACTACATAGTCACCCGACTCCCTGACTCCCTTCGCGTAGTCAGGGACCACTTCCTCGCAGTGTGCCCCACCACTCTCACCGTTGACCTCCTCGAGAAGGCCCTCCTAGCGGCGGAGAAGAGCATAGTCGCTGTAGGAGCCTCTCGTGGTGACCCCCGCACCCCTGTCTTTGAGGGGTGTTCTCCCTCCCCCCTCTTGCCCTCTGTTGCTTCTGCTGCTGCGGCCGACCTCGTAGGTTTTGAGTCGGTCGGTGCTGCGTCTGCCCCTTCGGGGAAGCGCCGCACAGGCAAGGGAAAGGGGGGCAAGGGCGCCAGAGGAGCTAGCGGGGGCGGTGGAGGTGGCGGTGGAGGCGGCGGAGGGAGTGGGGGTGGTGGAGGGAGTGGTGGAGGGGGTGGGGGTACCGGTGGCAGCAGTGGAGGCGGAGGCGGCGGCGGCAACGGAGGGAGCGGAGGCGGCGGTGGTGGCGGAGGCGACGGTGGTGGCGGAGGCGGCGGTGGTGGCGGAGGCGGCGGAGGCGGTGGAGGCGGCGGAGGTGGCGGTGGAGCCGGTCGCGGGTCTACGCAGAGGAGTGGCTCCGGTGGTGGTCCGCGCCAGCAGCAGCAGCGCGGTCGTGAGACCCTGTCCCCTCAGCATCTCCGTGAGTGGTACACTGCACGCCAGCGGGGTGGGGGTTTTGGTCCGTGCACCTACGTCCTTCGCACCGCCAACCGCGCGGGTGAGCAGTGTGGGGGTGCGCACCCCACCCAGCGCTACTTTGGCCGCCTAACGGACGCGTGGCGTCACCAGTTCCCTGAGGTCACAGAGATCCCTCGCTGGGGCGAGATGTCTAGGGCGGGAGTTGCCATCTATGATCTTGATTTTGATGCTATTCTTTCTGCCATGTATGCTGTGACTATTAGTGATGAGGGTGACTGTTACCAGTGTTTCCCGCCCGATCCGGGCATTGAGACTGCTGCTCTAGGTACTGGTAAGGCCGCTGCCCTAGGTGCTTGCGACGCTGCTGCTCAAGGTGCTAGTGCGTCTGCGTCCTCAGGTACTGGTGAGTCTGCGCTCTTAGGTACTGCGTCGGCTTCGGCCTCCCTCACCTTCACCCTTGACTCTGAGGCTTCTCGCTCCTTCTTTCGGGACCGCACCACACTCACGCCGCTTAGTCGGCCGGTTGCGGTGTCTCTGGCTGACCCCTCGGGGGGTCCTATCCTGTCTCACTTCTCCACAGTCCTCCCGTGTCCGTCGGCTCCCTCTGGCACCCTATCTGGTCTCTACCTCCCCTCGTTCTCTACGAACTTGGTGAGTGGTGCTGACCTACAGGATGGGGGAGTGCATCAGTTCACTCCTGCGCGTCAGCGGGTGACGCACTGCACAGAGGCTCGCACAGGCCGACACTTAGCTACGTTTACACGTCAGCCGGGGTCGAGCCTGTACACACTGACCACTGCGTCTCCTCAAGTTGCTGAGTCTGGTAGGGTAGCTGCGTCGGGTCAGGTGTTTGCTGCAGCGTCCAGGTCTGGTCCTGAGTTTGCCCCCTGTTCGTGTCGTCTCCTGTCTCACGAGACTCTCCTCTGGCACCACCGCCTTGGTCACCACTCTCTGCTTCGTCTCAGAGGCATGGCCTCCCGTCTTCTTGTTTCTGGTCTCCCCCGGTCCCTCCCTCCCCTTCCTCAAGGGCCTTGCCCTACCTGTGTCCCCTGTGTCGAGGGGTGCCAGCGGGCTGCCCCTCACTCCTCCCAGTTTCCTCCGACAGAGGCCCCGTTGCAGACGCTTCACATGGACGTCTGGGGCCCAGCCCGCGTCCGTGGACAGGGTCACGAGCGCTACTTCCTGCTCGTTGTTAGCGACTACTCGCGTTACACCGCGGTCTTCCCCTTGCGTAGCAAGGGTGATGTCACTGAGGTGCTGATCGACTCGATCGGCGCAGCTCGTCTCCAACTCAGACAGAGCTTTCGCTCGGACTTTCTCGTTCTACGTCTGCACTCGGACAGAGGCGGAGAGTTTTCCTCTGGCCTTCTGAGAGCCTACTGTCGCGCACGAGGCATCCGTCAGACCTTCACGCTTCCGGAATCTCCGCAGCAAAATGGGATCGCTGAGCGCCGCATTGGCATGGTTATGGACGTCGCTCGTACGTCTATGATGCATGCGGCTGCCCTCCATTTTCTGTGGCCGTTTGCGGTGAGGTACGCGGCGCATCAGATCAACCTTCACCCCAGGGTCTCCAGGCCGGAGACCTCCCCAGCCTTGCTGTGGACGGGGAAGGTTGGCGATGCGTCTGCGTTCCGGGTTTGGGGATCTCGGGCGTTTTTCCGCGACTTGTCTGCGGACAAGCTGTGCCCTCGTGTTGCTCCTTGCGTTTTCCTGGGGTTACCCCCTGACGCGCCTGGGTGGCAGTTCTACCACTTCACCTCTCGCTGTGTTCTGTCCTCCCAGGACGTCATGTTTGACGAGTCGGTCCCCTACTACCGCCTCTTCCCCTACCGCACTCCGTCCCTCCCCCCCCCCCCCCCGCTCTTCCTTGTACCAGGTCCCTCCCCGGTAGACGCCCTCCCCCCTCAGGGTCCTACCCCTTCAGGTGTGTCCTAGGTAGACGCAGTCGAGCCTGTCGAGGTTACTGGTGACTCTGGTGCTGCTGAGGGTTCTGAGCCTGCGGGTGCTGGGACTGGGGGTGCTGAGCCTGGGGGTGCTGAGCCTGGGGGTGCTGAGACTGGGGGTGCTGAGCCTGGGGGTGCTGAGCCTGGGGGTTCTGAGCCGGGGGGTGCTGTGCCTAGGGGTGCTGTGCCTGGGGGTGTTGTGCCTGGGGGTGCTACGCCTTGGGGTGCTTTGCCTGGGAGTGCTACATCTGGGGGTGCTGAGCCTGGGGGTTCTGAGCTTGGAGGTGCTATGCCTGGAGGTTCTCTGGGTGCTTCGTCTCTGCGGGAGCCACTCTCTCCACAGGATTTGCGCGAGTGGTTTGCCTGGCGCTGGAGCCGTTCTGCTGGCGCTGGAGGTTTTTCGGCTACTGAGGGTGCTGTTGTCGCGGGTCCCGGAGGTGCTTGTACTGGGAGTACTGGAGCTGCTGGGCCTGCGGGTTCGACTGGAGCTAGTGCTGTTGAGGGTGTTGGCGCTGAGACTACTGCTAGCGGTCCTGCTGCGGGCACTACTGGTGCTGCTGGAGGTTCTGGAGCTGCTGCAGGTGCTGCTGGAGCGGGTGCTCCTGCTGGGGGTACAGGTGCTGTCCCTGCTGTGTCTGGCGTCGCCGCGCGGCCTCGACCGTACTTCGTTCCACTCCTGCAGCAGGTTCTTGGGCCTCCGCCTTCTACTGGTCCTCCTTCTTTAGAGTGTCCATAGCCTGTCCCGTCACAGTTACAGTTGCAGCCTACCTCCCCTTTGCCTGCTCCTTCTTCCTACACTGGTCCTACTAGAGGTCTTCCTGAGCGTCGTGAGCCTGCGTCTCGCCCTGCGTCGCCTGTGCGTGCTGCTCGCACTAGTGGTCGTGGTTCGCGTCAGCGTCCTCCTCCTGTCCCTGGCAGGCACAGGATGTCTCTACTACGGTCCACTGCTCCTCTGCGTGCACCTTTGCCTTCTCCTCCTGAGTCCTCTCTTCCTGCTCTTGCCGACCCGGAAGCGGACTCTCTTCGTGCTGCCAGCCCTACTGTCACGCGTCTCCTTGCTACTATCGTCACTGACCCTTCTTTCGAGTCCACTGCTGCGTCTGCCCTAGTTGCTGAGCTCGTCAACTTTGCTGCTCGCTGTCGCCTAGACTACGCTGCTAGTCTTGTCGCTGAGTCTGAGTTGTCAGAACATTATAGCTTACTCATTTATGTAGGCTATAGTGGGGTATCCCATAGGGGGTACAACCCAGTTAGGGTTTCCTATTTGTACTCACTTTGTTCATAGTTCATTCACTCTCTCGTTTTCTTCTTCTCATGGAATCAGAGCAGGTTCCCCTGTGGGAACTGTGCTTCGGGCCCACCACCTAGAATTTTTTTTTTCTGCCCTGGCGCCCGCCCTAGCGCCCGCCCTAGCGCCCGCCCTTTTGAGCCGCCCGTTAACGCCGCCTGTTAGCGCCGCCCGTTAGCGCCGCCGGTGCGGCTGCCCGTTCGCGCCGCCCTTTGCGCAGCCAGTAGCGCCGCCCGTGCGGCCGCCCGTTAGCGCCGCCCGTGCGGCCGCTCGTAGCGCCGCCCGTGAGCCGCCGCCCGTGAGCCGCCGCCCGTCGCGCCACCCTTTAGCGCCGCCCGTGCGCCGCCGCCCGTGACGCAGCCGCCCGTGAACCGCCGCCCGTGACGCCGCCGCCCGTCACGTCGCCCCCCCCCCCCGTGACGCCGCCGCCCGTCCCGCCGCCCGCCCGTCACGCCGCCCGCCCGTGAGCCGGCGCTGCCTGCGAACCGCCCACCCGTGGGCCTTCAGCCCGCCCGTGAGCTGCCGACGCCGCCCGTGAGCAGCCGACGCCGCCGACGCCGCCCGTGAGCCGCCGACGCCACCCGTGAGCCGCCGACGCCGCCGACGCCGCCCGTGAGCCGCCGACGCCGCTGTCGCTGCCGTCGCCCGTGAGCCGCCGACGCCGCCGCCGCCGCCCGTGAGCCGCCCTGGCCGCCCGCCCAGCCGCCCGTGAGCTCACCGCGCGCCGTCCCAGCCGCCCGTGCGCCGCCACCGAGCCGCCCCAGCCGCCCGTGCCGCTGCCCGAGCCGCCTGAGCCGCCCGAGCCGCCCGGGCCGCCCGCGCCGCCCTAGCCGCCCGAGCCGCCCGAGCCGCCCGAGCCGCCCGAGCCGCCCGAGCTGCCCGAGCCGCCAGAGGAGCTGCACTCCTGCTCCTGTCGAGCTACTGCTGCTCCTGGGCTGTGTACCTGCGCCGCTGACCTACCCGACTCTTCCTGCCCGGTGAGACTGTCAGCTGCTGTCATGGACACCCCCAATGTCCTAGCTTTTGACGCTGAGGGTAGAGCCATTGACTTTGCAGTCTGGATTGAAGACCTGCAGCTGTACTTACTGTGTGATGCGGTTGATGAGGTCTCTCTCTTTGACTTTGTCTCTGGCGCTGTCCGTGCCCCTCCTACTGATGCTGATTCCGCCGTTCGCTCCAAGTGGGCGACCCGCGATGCTGCTGCACGTCTTGGTGTGCGTCGCCACCTCCCTTCCTCCGAGCGTGCCCACTTTAGTCAGTGCAAGACCGCTCAGGCCTTGTACGACGCTGTAGTTGCACGCTACTCCTCCCCTTCCTCCGCTACGCTGAGCCGCCTCATACTACCTTTTCTCTTCCCTGACCTCGCTGCCTTTCCCACTGTCGCTGACCTCATTACCCACCTCCGCGCTAGTGACGCTCGCTACCGCGCTGCACTTCCTGCTGAGTTCCGCGCCGCCAACCCTCCTCCCATGTACATCACTCTCTACTTTCTTGTCACCTGTCTCCTTGAGTCCCTTCGTGTCGTTAGGGACCAGTTTCTCTCTGTCTGTCCCACCACCCTCACTGTCGACCTCCTTGAGGAGTCCCTGCTAGCGGCTGAAGAGAGCATAGTCGCTGTAGGGGCCTCTCGGGGTGACCCTCGCACCCCCATCTTTGAGGGGTGTTCTCCTTCCCCCCTGCTGCCCTCTGTCGCCTCTGCCGCTGCGGCCGACCTCGCTGGTTTTGAGTCGGTCGGTGCGGCGTCTGCCCCCAGCGGTAGACGCCGCTCTGGCAAGGGCAAGGGGGGCAAGGGAGCGGGTGGAGCTAGAGGAGGCAGTGGCGGAGGAGGTGGGGGTGGCGGGGGGAGTGGGGGTGGCGGTGGAGGTGGTGGCGGGAGTGGAGGTACTGGTGGAGGCGGTGGAGGCGGAGGTGGCGGCGGAGGCGGTAGCGGATGAGGCGGGGGCGAGGGTACCAGTGGGGGCGGTGGCGGTGGAGACGGGGGCGGTGGTGGAGGCGGGAGTGGCGGTGGCGGCGGGGGTCGGAGTGGCTCGTCCCAGCGGAGCAGCTCTGGGGGTGGTCAGCGCCAGCAGCAGCAGCAGCAGCAACAGCAGCGCTCTCGCACCGTCCCCGCCCCTCAGCAGCTCCGTGAGTGGTACTTGCAGCGTCAGCGTGGTGGTGCGTTTGGTCCCTGCCCCTACGTTCTTCGCACCGGCGACCGTGCGGGGGAGAGGTGTGGAGGCACCCACACAGCCCGCCGCTGCTTTGGCCGCCTCACCGACGCCTGGCGTCAGCAGTTTCCGGA